GTAAAATCATTCAGCATTTAGCTTAGAAGGTGTCCAGCATTTCAGTGAGCTTCAAAACCCTCTGCCCTTAGGGAGCCCAAATGAACAACAAAGTGAATGGGTAGCCATTTCAGGTGCAGAGCTCATTAGCAATTCATCTAATGGAGGATACAACTAGAATATAAAATTCAGAATGAAAAGCTAGGGGAGGCAAGGCCTTTGGTCAAAGTTTGCATACAATGGTTGATCTTAAGTATGTTTTGCATTCAAGGGGGTAAATTTCTGGATCAGAAAGGGACACCTCTTCCCTATCTCAACCTGGAAATCTTCTAAAGAAAGCACAAAGGAATTAAAATGCAAATCTTCTTAATCATCATCCTCACACTCTTATATTCCTGGTATCCTTTTACAAATTTGCCCCATTGAAAGCCTCATAAATGTCCAAGCAGCGTTTTCTTACGGACATGGAGAAAGATCAAAGCAAGTGAACTCGAGCAGCAGAAGCAAAGCCTAAGTCAGCCAGCCACAAGTCAAACAACCCATAAAGCTTGCATATGCGGGGAGCGGGAGAGCCTAACACCGCTAATCAATAGGTAGAAAAATAACAGAAACCTACAATATTACTATTTAATCTCACAAAATGCGTTCCTATTTATAGCGAATAAAAAATATCTGCAGAAAGAAAGTTCATCAAGAAAATCACCATCTGCCTGATCTATGACATTCCAAAAGAATCCCCCTATTTTTCATAGCCTTATCGCAGCAGAGAAGCTAGGGCCGCTATCAGAATAAGGAACTAAAGAGGCTTGCCAAAACCCAAAAACAGTATTTCGCCGCCACATTAACACACATCATGGTCCTGAACACTAGTTAAGTCATATTATTGAACAACTTTAATCACAAAATACACAGGGGTAAGCATTCAAAAGCGGCTAAGCCCCAATACAAAGTTTCAAAACAAAATCTCTCCCAAGGTTGGGGGAGTAACCGAGCTGAGAGCAAAAAAGCACCACCACCCCACCAGCCCCATTCTACTGCTAAGACGGATCTCAAACTTATCAAAAACAGCCACAACTGCAGCTCCTGTCACCCAGAAGCGCAAAGAGAGAGGGAGCCCGACCGAGTCCCGAGAGCTGGCCTTTCTGGAGACCGCCAGGCCGAGCCCGGCTCAGACAAGGAGGAAGTAACTGCCAGATAAAAAAGCCCCGAGCAGCTCCAACTGCAGCCTCTGTGTTTCCTACAACTGCTCACATTCCCGCCCCACTCAGGGCTCCGAGAGGAAGGGAACGGGACGCAGGTCTCCCGGGAGAGGCTGGGGGCGACAGGTCCGCGTCTTCTAGGGAGCAGCGGCAGCACCGGCCGAACTCTTAGGGGCTCTGGAGCCCAGGGTTCGGGAGCCTGCTTCGAAGGAGTGTTTAGTGGGGGGAGGGTGTAGCTGAAAAAGGGTCGCTCAGGAGGCGGTGCCTGCCGGGTGGAGGCAGCAGCTTCTGGCACCCTGACCGCCCCCCGGGGGAAACCGGGACGCGCACCCCGACGCGGAAGCCATGCCTACCAGAGCTCGGGGTGCTCAGGGGCCAGTGGGGGGCGCTGAGGAGATCTGGGGGCGCGGAACTGGGTCACCCCCACCTCACCGCCCCCTCACAAAGGCCCCCGGGGAGGCCGCCCGCAGGCCCCGCAGCCCCGG